AAATGACAAGGCTTCCAACATCCTAACAAGCCTGTTGGTAAATTCCTCTCTCCTGAAGAGTATGAATCATCAAAGAAGGACAAACAAATGATGACTTTCCACAAGTTTGATGAAGGCTACAGAAGAGTTGTTCCTTCTCCAACACCTATTGATATCATTGAATTGGACACTATCAAAACACTCTTCAATGAAGGACACTTGGTTATTTGTAATGGAGGTGGAGGTATCCCTGTTGTTAAAAGCCGAGATGAAGTTGGTGGTGATGAGAAAGCAATGATTGGTAAAAAGCAAGCACAAAGAAAGAACCACCTGATGGGCATAGAAGCAGTCATTGACAAGGATAGATCCAGTTCCCTGCTAGCACAAAAGCTTACTGTCGATTACTTTATCATTCTCACCAAAGTGGATCATGTCTACTTGAATTACTCTTCAAAAAAGGAGGAGAAGAAGCCTATTACTTCAATGGATGTTGAAACTGCTCGACAATACATTACGGAAGGATGCTTTGAAGAAGGTACCATGCTACCAAAGATTGAATCAGCCACTGAATTTGTTACCAAGACTGGAAAACCTGCTCTCATCACAAGCTTGGACAATTTCATCAGAGAAACTTCCAAGCAAGGAGATGTTAACAATGAAATCAAACTACGTCATATTGAAGGTACTTGGATTGTTCCATAAATCTAAAAATTCTATCATGATCCAACAACATTCACAACATTAATAAACAATAGTGGTAATTATTCGTGATATTTAAATCAAAACAAGAAAAAAATTCCCTTCATGGATGTTGAACTTGGTGTTGCTTTTATTTTTTAAAAAAATTAAAAAAAATTAAAAATGTAAAATCTTGAAGAAGAGATTAGAGATCAAACAACAGTTGGTTGGTTAGCAGGATGAAATATTGTTGTGCTTTGCTTTTTTGAAAAGGATCTCCATTACCTGAAATTTCATCAATATTTGCTTACTATGTATGTATCATACAGACCAAAAAAATTGAAGGCTTGGTATCCTTGATATTTCCATCAAGCTTTCAGTAAATATTGGAGGTAGATATTATGTTTATCGGATCAGTAATTCAAGGGTTTGAATTGGTCATTAAGATAATACAATTCATACAAGACAGGAGAAATTCTTGCAAAAAGCTACCGAATCGAAGCTTCCGTATGTTGTTCAATGATCAAAAGGCTTTTCAGCACAGCACATTTTCCACCAAACCTTCCTCTTTTCACAAGTTTCATGAAACCTTGTAATAGTTGGTACAAAACTATAGTAATTTGTCCAAGATGGTCAAGTAATTACAGAAAGGGCAGGTAGTATCCTGAACGATTTACTAAATTTTGGATGGTTGTTGACTTGTATGTACAGCCGTTGAGGGTATTTGATGGATACATTATTTTACTGCAATTACCGAGGGTTGATTGTTACAGGCAAAACACATCACAAAAAAACATCAACACAATGGCAACTGACACATTA